GGTTGTATTGCCCACGACACTTTGATCGCAGGCGATGCAAATGTGAGATCAAGGACGCTTTTTCTGACCCCTTTACGGATAAATGTGGGTGCTCCGCTGTTTAGAGTTGTGAAGTTCAGGGCCGCAATGGTTTCTTCCAGGCGTCTTCCCCTTCTGTTGGTTCGGCTATCACCCCAGTTCATGTTGTGTGCGTTGAAATCCCCAGCTAATAAAAGTTCACCTCTAGCTCTCTGTTGAATTTGGTGCAACACATCAGGGTCCCACGTGCCCCCAGGGGCTACGTAAATGGAAACTACTGTGGTGTCTTGCGTGCCGAGCCTTACTATGACTCCCGCATACTCTGCCGTTAATGAGCAGAGATCTGAAAGGTCCAGGACGCTTTGATGGAGGCTTGATCTCACCAAAAGTGAAACCCGAGACCTAGTATTTGAGTCAATTGTGGTAGAATTGTAGAAAACATATGGAGAGAGTCGTACCTCACCTGGTAGGATGTTGGTTTCTTGAAGTGCAACTACATCTATGGTTCTCTGCTGTAGAATTTGCCGAAGTTCAGGAATGCGTGTACGAAGGCCGTTCACGTTCCATTGGAGAATCGATGGAAATTTGGGGTTCCGGTTTTGTTGACACGGCCTGTTGGCTTTCCCTCCCTTTACTATGACTCCATAAGAGGAAGAATCATGTTAAGAAATGAGAGGAGAAGTCGTGCCCACTGCGCATCCACAGTAGATAGAAAAGCGTAAGCCATGCGGGTTGCCTTCTGAAGAAGTGGAATCCAGCATTCCCAAGCAGATTTAGCTGTGGGTTCAGCACTCGGGCTGGGAGGAGGCTGCGGCTTCAGTGCAGGCGTCACATTCAATGCTGGTCTGACAGTGTCGGCTTTTGATTGCACAGTGGAGGTGTGGTGGTTGTTCAATTCAGATGCTCCCTGCGTCGTTTTGCCTTTTCGCTGAAGTGCTGCAGCGTAATTCACTCCACTGACATTAGGCTCCTTGATGGGATCATTCCTTCTTTTCGGTGGGCTTGGAGGGGGCTGACTATTTTGATTTGCGTTGGCTGTCTTATACTGATGGACAGCTGTCCTTGCAGCACGAAAATCAACGGCATGTTGACGTGCGTAGTTGCGAGTCTCGCTTTCTTTCTTCCATTTGGGGCAGGATGAAGAAGTGGCAGCGTGAGGTTGTCCACAGTTGACACACTTTTCTTGCGCCGAACACTCGGTGTTGCTCTCATGTAAATCTCCGCAGCGGCTACAAATAGGAGGTCGCTTGCAAGTCGCTTCTCGGTGTCCATACGCGCAACACTTACTGCACTGTATGGGGCGTTCCTTGAATAGAGAGACGGGGTGACGGACATGGCCGAGGTAAACAAAACTTGGCAGTGTCGTTGTAGAGAAGGACAGCTTCACAGCTGTGCTCTTGCCAAGTCGTCGCAATCTTGCCACTCGACCTTCCGGAGATCTCACGTTCTGTTCGATCTCGACTTCAGAAAGCGCAGGATCAACGTCTGTGATGACTCCGACGGCGTAATGTCGCGGAACCGGCTCATATGCTCTGACCTTCATTCCACAAAGCTCGGAGCAGGCAAGGAGCGTTCGAGTCGTCTGACCATTGCGTGTGTCTACTGCAATTAGGTTGAGTCTTTTGTTGGGACGGACCTCAAGAATGCACTCCGGGCACATTTGTTCCAAAGCAATTGACAGTTTAAGGCTGCTGAGTGTTGCGATGAGCTGGTTTTCAATCGTTGATACAAAGATGACAGTGAGCCCTTCTGTCACTTTCGGCGAGTGGGTAACTGTATCCGTGCTTTTGCTTGAGTTTGAGTCAGTCTTCTTGCGTTTTTTAGCTCCTTTGGTCTGCCAGCCTTCTTCGTCGTCGTTGAGCTCCATGTCACAGAGTTGTGACTCTTCGGCATTCAATACGTTGATATTTGAATGTTGACCAGCTGCGAGGTCTTCTGCCAAGTCAGCAGCGGAAGCTTCGTACTCCGATTTTGCGAGAGATGTACCGCATATCGAGGAACTCACGCTGTATCGGTCGGTTGCAGCTCTTTGACTTGCCGTAAGTGAGGGAGTTCTTGTGGACATAGCGGAGTCGTTTCAGAAAAGCCGAGGAATAATCCCCAGCCGACCGGCACACCTGCAGGGGACTTGGCAAGTTTCTAACATTCATGTTGTCCCTGAGGGATGTGTTTTAGTGCTGCCCTCCGCACACCTATTTATGACGTCCTCTTTCTTGGCTGATATTTTAACACAGTGACACGTGCAGTTTGGGCCACTTGACTTCTTTCAATGCACCGTGCGCTGAGAAGATTTGCGCTTTGACTTCGCGCCAATTTGTGGTTGTTGGCGTGAACTTCCACTTCTTTCCCTTCCCCCGTAAACCTGGCAACACGCAAAATGCTTGTTTCGAAGGCAGCAAGGTTGTGTTTGGCAAAACGTGGGGTGTATCGAATATCGATTTAACGAACGCGGGAACGCTTCAATAAATTGACCCTTTGTCTAAACGTTGCAGGTCAACGAAGCTATCTGTTTATGGAACGTCGTTTGACGAAATGATTGCCTTAAGGTCATTCATGCGTTTTGGTTACTTCTAACGACCACCAAACAAAACTAACGTGTTAAGTGCTATGATGAAGTGCTCCAATTATTTTATTGCCCGGCATGTTTTTTTGCACGCATGCAACAGGCATTCGGCAAATAAAAGTATTGACAAGTAAACTGCCCATCTGTGATTCTTTTCTTTTTAGGGGGGGGGGGGGGGTTGGGGGAGATTTATTGTTGTAGGCGCCATGGCTGCCACAACGTCAGGAAAAAAAAATGTTTACATAACCGCGGCTAGCTAACGAGGTAGCGCCATCTGGAGTCAGGACGAGAAGTTCAAGGAAATGCGGCGCAGGTAGTTGTTATGCAAAACTACCGTGCATCAAGAGCATTATATATTCAAATGGTGTTTAGTGAGGCTCACCACTGCGCTTGAAGCGTTAAGGCGCCTCTGAGAAGTACCAAACGTTTCTTCGGTTGAAGCGAAATGTAAGTATTATAACAAAGTTTCAATAGTGGTAAAGAAGCGAAAAGGAAAAAACGATTGAGTGTTTTAAAAATACCGCAGATACAAAAAATTTCAAGACACCCGTTCATGGGTTTTATGAATTCAGTTTGCCTTTAGAAAACCGGGCTACGGGCCGTTCGTCGAAAGACAATTTGTAACAGGGCAATTCGTAGCAGGGCAATTGGTCGCGTGGGGCAATTCGTTATAGGGCTATTCGTCACAGGGGCATCTAGTCGAAAACAGTTTTTTTTTCTTAGTTTATGTTTGTTAGGAAAATTTAGAACAAACTTTTCAACCATTACAGCTCACCGGAGTTTGGGAAGGGGAGGGGAGGGAGGGGGAATGTAACGTGTATATATAAAATATGAAGTTCAAAAGCCTTCCCAGAAAAGTTCGAACACCGCCTTGTTGTCCACGTTCTTTTGGAGTTTCGGAAAGGTGGGAGGCTTTTCTTCTAAACATGCATGCTGTGTTGTATCCTGTTTGGATACTTCACGGTCCTTTGTCCGGTTTCTGTTCGCAACTCCAGCCCACCGCTCGCCGCCCTCTGGCGGACGACCGGAGAGACAGTGGAACGGGAACGGGAGCGGCAGCGGTGGTGCAGAAACGGTGGCAGGGACTGTCGGCCTTGATGCGTGAAGCCATTTGAACGAAGAAAATTGAGCGCATTAAAATAGGAATTCTTGTACTCCGCCTCGCAACAGCCTTGGACGAAGAACTCGGAGGTGTAATTTCATTAGGGACTTTTCACATATTGCATACTCTGCGAATTTCTGGTCATGTGCATGACCGCCAGCTCAATCTGTGCTCAACGTGACGGCAAACGCTCCCGGTACTAATGTGGAGCTCTAGCGTACGGTCTACGAAAAGTCTATTCTGAGCCCTGGGTAGGAGAAAAGTGGTCACGCAACAGGTATGTCGAGCAATACACATTGGGAATGGGTCGTTACAAGGAACATGACCATTTATACCAAGAACGTTTAAGAGATAGCATACGCGTACTTGCTTTCAGGAAATTGAAAAGTAAATAAAGAAATACTCGAAGCAGTTTAAGCGCGTCTGTGTTAGCCAGCCTCTTAAGCTGACAGTGCACGGGAGGCTGCGTGGTCGCCGGGCCAATCTGATCACCTTATACCAACAGTTTGAGTGATTCAGAAAGCGATGCAAATAAAACTTTTCGTGAACTGACAGCAATGTGGAAAACATATTTAGAACTCGGCTGTGGCGTACACTCACGGAAGTATACAGCGTCGACTGCGAAAATGGAGCATTTAAGCCAAATCTTAAACATTCTGCTATAAAGCAAAGTACCAAATGAGGGAGAACCTTCATTCGTAATTAATAATTTTGAAGCAATATATACTTCATAAACTGTAAAAATTAAACACATAAGAAGCTTTTAATAGGGTGACGATTCGTCATCTGGACCGATTGCCCCATTACGAATTGCCCTATGCGACGAATTACCCTGCTACGACTTGCCCTGCTACGAATTGTCTTTCGACGAATAGTCCTACAGCCGAGAAAACCATTGCAGACATTCAGCACATATTATATTGATTGTACAGATTATATTGACAACGACCGACTACTTAATTATTATTAATTGATAATAATAATAGAAAAGAATAATAATAATAATAATAAAGAGAAACTGCCGGAGCCGACAACAACGTTCTTCTTATTGATGACATTTTAATTCTATCTATTGATGAAATTTGAATTCTACCTAGTTTCCCTACCCTATCACTCTCGGGATGGGAAATCCAATATAAGTTGTACAAAATAAATATACCCATCACGATAAAAGGAGCAGACACGTTAGGGTGCCCCAGAAACCAACAGCACGCTGACACAAGTCAGCCAGCGTATATTAGTGCATTTTACGAATTCACTCTCCCTGTCCCGAAAAAAAAAGGTAAAAAAAACCCCCCAAAAAACTTTGACTTTTACCTCTTGATATTTGACCATCATAAACTACGGACCACAAACCGTAGGAAAAGTTCGGTGCCAGCAGCGACTTCATCACGGCCACATATCTGCGTTATAAGGTCAAAACATTTATTAAAAAATCGTAAACGTTGCGATCATGGAAATAATATATTACTATCAACACATACTACAGCGCACACTGCAAAAGTACTCACACCGTACACTCACTCCTTACACACGAAAAAGAAAGATGAAATTCAAACGAACTGCTCTGACTGACAACTCGTTTTGTTATATACTTTGTCTTCTTCTACGTCTGGAACTACCGAATTTTCCGAATCACGCGCACCAATCTCCTAGACTACAGTGTTCTCCTAGACGCCAAAAAAAGTTTTCTCTTTTCCTGTCAGGTTCAAAGATGGTGTACTAATACAGGCATACACTGCCGTGATTGGGGGATCGGTGGCCGAGTGGGCTAGCGCACACCAGCTCGGAGCACGTGGAGCGAAAGCTCGCGCTGCGGAACCCAGGGATCCTGGGTTCAATCCCCACCCCTGCCCGTTTCGATCTGGATGAGCATCGTACCGGCGTGCGGTCGTGTATCACTACTGCGTGGTGCACGTTAGAGACCCCAGGCTAGCGGTTGTACCGCACTGGCTAAACTGCTCATCTACAGTGGGTAACAATGTCGCCATGTTCTGGCAGACTAAACTCCTGCTGTATAAACAACTAACGACGAATTTTTGCCGTGATTGTAGGTGCGAGGTTCACCCCCTTTGTTGTACAACTTCAGGTAGGCACAGTAATCAATTAACTAGAGAAATTATTGAACCCGAACATATCGTCAGGAATCATAGAAACTGTATTTGTACACCATCTTTCAAAATGACAGAAAAATAAGAAACATTTCTTGGCGTCTAGGAGATTGGTGCGCGTGATTCGGGAAATTCGGTAGTTCCAGACGTAGAAGAAGACAAAGTATATAAAAACGAGTTGTCAGTCAGAATGGTTCGTTCGAATATTTCCTTTCTGTTTCCTGTGTAAAGAGTGAGTGTACGGTGTGACCACTCATTCACACTGGAAGCGGATCCGCGTTCGCAAAGCGGTTGCGAACGCGGTTGTATAAAGATCCAGTACAATTGCACGCGCACTTGATGACATCGAGTGCGAGCGCAATTGTACTGGATCTTTATACAACAGCATTCGCAACCGCTTTGCGAACGCGGATCCGCTTCCAGTGTGAATGAGCGGTAAATGTACTTTTGCAGTATGCGCTGTAGTGTGTGTTCATATGAGCAACCAACTCGCCCAAGCTGCTACGCTAACAAGATGCTAGGGAGTTTTCGTAGACCGCGCTGCCCCCTCCGCTAAGCGTTCCGCGACGAAGAAGTTGCTACTGCGCCTGCGCGCCGATAGCCTTGACTGCGGAGTTCCCGTTATCGTAGCGGGTTGCGGAGGGCCTTGCGGGATGGCGAAAACGATCTACGAAAACTCCCTATTAATATTACTTTTCACCGGAGCGTAAGCATTAGTCCTGGCAGTGCCATTTGTAGTTATGTCTCCGGTAGAGCTCGCGAAATTGCGCGTGACGATTCTCGGAATATTACGTCCCTTGCCAGAGTGCTGAGCTGTTCTTACGACCGACCAGATTCGTGGAAATGCTCCCGGCAAGGCTACACAGCAGTGTTTCCCAGGCTTTAGGTCAATACCTCAAAATCTGCGGTCCCTCTGCTTAGCGGCGCCTCACACTGCTCAAAACACCGAACAAGGGACAGTCCGCCGACGCCAGGGAGTTCTAGGGTACAGTCCTCGCACGTCCGATGTGGTACGATGGGGCCTCCGGTGCGAATTGCGCATGCGCTACAGCAGAAGACACTCGCCTGCGCAGTTCGTACCGGACGGCTTATACCGTGCCGTATAGGATGTGCAAAAATGGTTCCTTAAAACTCCCTAGTGTTTGCAGACTGTCCATTGTTCGATGATTCAGCAAACCGTCTGAGGCGGGTTTCTACCTCATGGGACGGTCCCGCCACAGTGGTCGTATACGAAGACCGTCTACGCACATGTTCCGGGCACGACAGTCTCTGAATCGATTGCATCTATTGGAGAAGCGATTCTCGCTCTTTAATCCACAACGAAAGGCCGGCTTGCCTGTCTCTGTCCGACTCCTTAATTGAGCTCAAGGCTCCTATGTCCCACACAATGTCCATTTCTCCTGCACACGATCTAGAAAATAATGTCAAATAGGGAAAAAGTGACAAATCAATCAATCAATCAATCAATCAATCAATAAACGATGCGATATGTCTTATATCATGTCCGGCATCACCAGACACAGATGTAGGCATTAGCCTGTAAAGGCATAAAATCAAAATGTTTTTCTTGACGAGGGGCTCTGTCTCAAGAAAAGATGCCTTTTTTTGAAGAAACAGCGATCAGCAAACAAAACAACAAGAACAAAAAAATAGCAGAAATAGTTTTTTTTTTCGAAATCTGAGTTTTCGCAGTTTTCAGGCGTATAACTTTCAGCAATCAAAACCAAAAGAAAACCGCATCGTGTAAGCACAATAAGTATGGATAGCAGAAATAAAAGAAGCATTACTCTGGCGAAATCTTGGCAGTCAAAGAATTGCCTCAATGTTGGTTCAACACACTAATATAAACGTGTGAACTGTTTGGCCAAAATGCGAAGTCCAATAACGTGTTTTTTTTTTTCTCCCAACTTATGAAAATATTAAAATTGGTCTGAGACACTGAGATGCCCGACTCGAAGCACTGAAAACATGACGACGAATGTTATAACATGAGCGTAATACGGCTTTTTCGAGACGAGATACAAGAGTTTTTACTCATTACCATTTCATTTCATTTCATTTATTATTCCCTCAGGGCCCGAAGGCATTACAGAGGGGAGTGGGCGGTCGACAGATAAAAATAACATAGTTGAACGAGGCAAAAATACAAAAAAAAAAACACAAACACACACACACAGCAAAAACACGCGCTACGCATCATCTGTTAAAAAGTTGGTAATAGCATTTTTAAAATAAACAGTGTTAGTTATTGAGACTATATGTGCGGGAAGGCGATTCCAATCAATGGAGGTTTGGGGTAGAAAAGAAGCATTAAAAGTGGATGTGCTACAATGGGGAATCCCTACCTTTAGGTCATGGTCTACACGTGATGATATGTACGATGGTTCTAAAAACAATGCTTGACGGAGAGCGGGGTTAGAGTAATAAATCTTGTGAAATAAACATAGACGAGATATTTTTCTTCGGAGAGAGAGATCAGGTAAGGAGAGGGACGATTTCATGGAAGTTACACTGGCTGTACGATGATAGTTCGAGAGTATGAAACGGGCAGAACGATTCTGAATAGATTCGACAGCTGATGCAAGGGTGATACCGGGGCTCCAGATAGAAGCTGCATATTCCAGTTTAGGACGAACTAGGGTTTTATAGAGGAGAAGTTTTAACGAAAGAGGAGCCAGCGAAAAGTTACGTTTGAGATAGCCCAAAAGCCTATTTGCGTTGTTAGTGACATATTGGACGTGGATATTCCAGGAGAGGTCGTTGGTTATGTGAATGCCGAGATATTTATAGGAGGACACACAAACTAAAGTAGAATTGTTAATAGAGTAGGAAGGACAAGTGTTGTTATGACGAGATACTCTCATAGATGTACATTTAGTGATGTTAAGCTCCATGAGCGATTCCTTGCACCATTTGCAGATGTTGTTAATATCAACCTGAAGGGCGGAAATGTCAGAGTCGTTAACTATCTCTTTATAAATTACACAATCGTCAGCGAATAAACTAATAGAGGAAGAAACATGCACAGGAAGGTCATTGATATAAATAAGAAATAAGAGTGGTCCGAGTACGGAGCCCTGAGGGACACCGGAGTTAACAGGCGAGGGCGAAGAATTAGTGTCATTAGTTCGAACAAATTGGAAGCGATTCGTTAGGAATGATTTTATCCATGTGAGGACATTGGGATCTATATTAAGGTTACTAAGTTTATGAAGAAGTAGCTGGTGAGAAACCTTGTCAAAAGCTTTTGAGAAATCCAGGAATATGCAGTCAGTCGTAGAACCCCGGTCTAGAGTGAGGTGAAGATGATGAGTTAATGTTAGCAGTTGGGTATCACAGGAATAAAACTTTCGAAAACCATGTTGAGCTGTGTTGAAAAAAGAGTTGGAGTCAAGAAAATTAACAAGATGCGAATATATTACGTGTTCAAGAATTTTGCAAGGGATGCTCGTTAGAGAGATCGGGCGGAAATTAATAGGATTATGTTTATCGCCGCCTTTATGAATTGGAATCACCTTCCCCACCTTCCAGTCACTGGGTAATATTCCTTGTTCGAGAGACTGGGAAAAAAGATAAGATAGAATAATGCTTGAATACGTTTTAGTGTTCTTTAGAAACTTAACAGTTACATTGTCGATGCCGGCTGCCGAAGAGGTTTTAAGATTTTCAATTATGTTAGCAATCCCTTCAGATTCTATAATGACAGGATACATTGGCAAAAAGTTACAAACTGGAGCTGCGGTAAAGTTGGAGGTAACAGGGCACGAAAACGCTTTGACAAAAACATCATTTAAAACAAAAGGACACTGATCATTTGGTACATCTACTCCGTCAGCCATTCTAAGCGCAACATCGGAGCTTTCAGTGGGGTTAACAACTTTCCAAAATTGACGGGGGTTGTTTATTAGCATAGATGGTAACAGAATATTAAAAAATGAGCTTTTAGCCTCTACAACAGCATTTTTGTACACGCCCGCAGCTAGCTGGTACGCTGCCCAATGCTGTACGTCATCCTTCAGCTTGGCAGCACGAAACAAACGCTTTTTTTTATTTGAGAGCCTTTTCAGAGTCACGGTATACCATGGCGATTCAGGTGACGACGTTATGTTGCGAAGAGGTACATGTGCCTTCATCAGTGATACCACCTTATCTTTGAATAAACGCCAGTTGTCTGCGACTGAGCGCTCGGCAAAACAGTGCGTATAGCGATCTAAAAAGAGACTCATTTCATTGTTAATCATATCAAAGTCCGCTCTAGCATAATCGTGTATTTGCTTTATTTGTTTTGATTTGCGGGAACTGGGAATGTTTAATATAAAATGCAACAAGGAATGATCACTAATACCAGGCGTGTAAGTCAATGAAGTAATAAGCTCGGGCGATGTTGTTAATATAAGGTCTAAAACAGAGGCAGTTGTAGTTGTAATACGCGTCGGTTTCGTAACAATTTGTGAAAAGCTAAAGTCCAAGCACAAGTTCAAAAACTCACTACTCTCTGAAGAAAAGGGACTGAGGCTAGCACCCATATCTGACCATACTATGGCGGGGTAGTTAAAATCACCCAGCAGCATTATTGGCGTATTGGGAAAACGGATCATGACTCCGTTAATGGCGTCGTGTAGGCTTGTAACAAAAGTGGCACTTTTTGAAGGAGGGCGATAACAAACGCCTAAAATATATTTTTTTGTTTTTAACTGAAGACAAACCCATAGAAGCTCCAGTTCAGAAACAATACTGATTTGAAATGATAATACGTTTTCCGCCACCGCGACCAATACGCCACCGCCATTTTTTTCGCCTCTGTCATGACGGTAAAAATTGAAACGTTTATGACAGTTTAATATTTCATCGTTACGTATTTTGCTTGACAACCAGGTCTCGGTGAGAACAACAACATCCGCGTCTGATGAGTCCACAATGGACGACAAGTCATCGCGGTTACGCATAACGCTTCTAATGTTAGTAAATAAAACAGAAATATTTACAAGGGGTGACTCACTAATGTCATCCGAACGCTATGACAGAGCAGGTGCTAGGTTAGAACTGCCGGTTTTTCTGAGCACCATGACGGGGTCATGAAGTCCGGAAGGAGTCCCGTCTGGCTCCAAGTTCCGCTGAGGTGGGTTTAGTTCGCGAACCATGAACCAACTAGCCCAACAACGATTTTCGCTAAAGAAGTTTGAAGCCGCGAAATGGGTGATGGGGAAGCTCACGCTCACAAACCCTCTTCCCTCCCCCCTCCTCCCCCCTCTACTTCACAAAAAAAAAACGCGCAAATAAACTGTTTTGTTTAGACTGCCTGCTTTGACCTGCAAGTTAATCACAGGGTTCTTTGTTTTCCGGGTTTATTTTCCTTCAAGTTCGGTAGAGTATTTTTCGGAGTTTATTATTTTTTTTTTTCGGAATCGGTGTTTTTCGGTATTTCGGTGTCGTCGCGGCGCATGGCGTCGTCTGGGTACTCGTTGTATAATTGAAGTTTCACCAGGGGCGACATCGCCGTGTTGGTGGCCGAGCGGCGGACAAGCGCCTGCGTGCAACGAGGTAGGGATGTCGTTATCAAAGAGCGTTGTTCGTGGCTCGATCCTGACTGCTGTTCCACGCCTCCAGCGACTAATTCAGTGATTTTAGCAGCTACGAGCTCGGGAAACTTTAGTGTCGTCTTGGCGATTACTTCAGTTGTACAGTCTCCGGCGATATGAAAGACCCACTGGGAGCGCGTGGCCGAGGCAGTGGCTGGCGGGGGCGCTACGAGCGCTCTGGGCAATTCCATTCTGCTTCGAGGGGAGGACGCTCACTCGGGGCTTAGCACAAACTGATAAGCGCGCGCTTTAGCTGAGCCCCGAGTGAGCGTCCTCCCCTCGAAGCAGATCGGAACTGCCCGGAGCGCTCGCAGCGCCCCAGCCAGCCACCGCCTCGGCCACGCGCTCCCAGTGGGTCTTTCATGTCGCCGGAGACTGTACGTGTCTCAGGGTTCAGATTATGACGTTTCCTATACCCAGCTCGCCTGCACACTTTCGCCAATTGCAGTTCAGCTGGATGTCTGTTTCTACGCATCTGCTCAGTGAACGCGTCAAACCGCAGTGAAGCGGCCGTGATCAAGCAGGTTCGGCTCAGCAATGAAAGCCAAGAGATGCAGAAATATTATAAGCAAGACAAAATTGTTCATAAGAAATATTTATCTTTATTAATCTTATAAGCACTATCCGACAGCAGTGGTACGGCAGTAATGTAATTAAACTAATGCAATGCAATCACAAAAATTACGTATCTTTTGCATTAATTAGTAATGTAATTCATTACTTTTTGAGTTAGAAAATTTAGTAATTTAAGAGATTACTCTGGGGAGCTAATTTATTTAAATTTATTAATCGCTTTTTAGCTTCATGTATATTTTGTGCATCTGGAAATCTA